GGCGGCGACGGCGGCGGCGGCGACGGCGGCGGAGGCGATGGCGGCGGCGGGCTGGGAGGCGGCGGCGACGGCGGCGGCGGGCTGCGCAGGGGAGGGGGGGGGGGTGAGAAGGGTGACGGTAAAGGGGGCGTTGTGGCGGTGCTGCTGCTCGCGCAAATCTCGTGTGATCTCGTGCGATACTGATCTCGGGTCAGCGAAACCTGGGTGGAGGCGGCGACGGCGGCGGCGGCGACGGCGGGGGCGGCGACGGCGGTGGAGGCGACGGCGGCGGCGGGCTGGGAGGCGGCGGGCTCGGCGGCGGCGGAGAGGGCGGCGGCGGAGACGGCGGCGGCGGCGACGGCGGCGGAGGGGACGGCGGCGGCGGCGATGGCGGCGGCGGCGATGGCGGCGGAGGCGATGGCGGCGGCGGGCTGGGAGGCGGCGGCGACGGCGGCGGCGGGCTGCGCAGGGGAGGGGGGGCGGTGAGAAGGGTGAGGGTAAAGGGGGGGTTGTGGCGGTGCTGCTGCTCGCGCAAATCTCGTGTGATCTCGTGCGATACTGATCTCGGGTCAGCGAAACCTGGGTGGAGGCGGCGACGGCGGCGGCGGCGACGGCGGGGGCGGCGACGGCGGTGGAGGCGACGGCGGCGGCGGGCTTGGCGGCGGCGGAGAGGGCGGCGGCGGAGAGGGCGGCGGCGGAGACGGCGGCGGCGGCGACGGCGGCGGTGGAGAGGGCGGCGGCGGCGACGGCGGCGGCGGCGACGGCGGCGGAGGCGATGGTGGCGGCGGGCTGGGAGGCGGCGGCGACGGCGGCGGCGGGCTGCGCAGGGGGCGAGGAGGGGGTGAGAATGGTGACGGTAAATGGGGGGTTGTGGCGGTGCTGCTGCTCGCGCAAATCTCGTGTGATCTCGTGCGATACTGATCTCGGGTCAGCGAAACCTGGGTGGAGGCGGCGACGGCGGCGGCGGTGACGGCGGGGGCGGCGACGGCGGTGGAGGCGACGGCGGCGGCGGGCTCGGAGGCGGCGGAGAGGGCGGCGGCGGAGACGGCGGCGGCGGAGACGGCGGCGGCGGCGACGGCGGCGGAGGGGACGGCGGCGGCGGCGATGGCGGCGGCGGCGACGGCGGCGGAGGCGATGGTGGCGGCGGGCTGGGAGGCGGCGGCGACGGCGGCGGCGGGCTGCGCAGGGGAGGAGGGGGTGAGAAGGGTGACGGTAAAGGGGGGGTTGTGGCGGTGGTGCTGCTCGCGCAAATCTCGTGTGATCTCGTGCGATACTGATCTCGGGTCAGCGAAACCTGGGTGCAGGCGGTGACGGCGGCGGCGGTGACGGCGGGGGCGGCGACGGCGGTGGAGGCGACGGCGGCGGCGGGCTCGGCGGCGGCGGGCTCGGCGGCGGCGGAGAGGGTGGCGGCGGAGACGGCGGCGGCGGCGACGGCGGCGGCGGAGAGGGCGGCGGCGGCGACGGCGGCGGCGGCGACGGCGGCGGAGGCGATGGTGGCGGCGGGCTGGGAGGCGGCGGCGACGGCGGCGGCGGGCTGCGCAGGGGAGAGGGGGGTT